GCCAATTGCACAGGCTGGCCAACTAAGGGCAGACTATGGTGACAGCACTGTTTCAGCACCCTGAGCTTGGTGTGAACATGTATAATGATGCACTCACACTGCACTTTCAGTTCTCTGCTGGCCCCTAAGCACTCACTTGTCCATGCCTTTCCTTCCCATCTTACCAGGAGCTTTTGCCTGCTTTGTTTTTGTGTATGTTTGTAAATGCAACTGTGTGTATGTGCGTAATGGGGACTGTGAGTGTGTGTTGAAGATTGAGTGTGTGCGAGGTGACAGTATGTTTGTGAGATGTCTGTGTGTGAGGGGGTGACTGTCTGTGTAGATGATGTGCTTCTGTGGCGTGACTGTGTATGGTGTGTGACTGTATGTGGGGGGGTTATTTTGTGGTGGTGATGACTGTGTGTGGGTTTTGACTGTGGGTGGAGGTAATTTTGTGGTGGTAATGTGTGTGCACATTTCTGTGTGTATGGATGATTGTCTGTTTGTTGCAGTGAAAATGTGAATGGATGACTGTGTGAGTTTCAAGGGTGACTGTGTATGGGGTGATTGTGTGTGTTGGTTGTCTGTGTGGGGGGGTAAGTGATTATGTGGGTTGACTAAGTATGTGGAGGCCATGCTTGTCGTGTCCAGCCTCCCTTCACTTCATAAGACTGGTAGAGAAAATAGCAGCATATCGTTGCACCCCTCTTCTTAATATTGGGTAGGGAAGGTGACAATGATTGCCTGGAGACTGTGATTCAGCTGCTCGGTGGTCCATTGGGCTGAGATTTTGATCAGCACCCACTGCAAGTGCAGCAGACTACAATCTCTCATGCTGTTTCATGTGGAATGGTCTATAGGAGTGGTCTAGGAGATCTTTTGATTTTCACAAAGGCCCATGAAACAAAAGGTGAACCTTTAAAGCTGACATTCTAATGATAGCACCAATTCTGACCTCATCTCTTTCTCATAAGCAGCAATTGCAAATTAAATTTAATAGTAATAAACAAGTTTGGCTTGCACTTTTTAAAATCACGTATACACGATTCTAGGCTATAGAAGCATACCTTGAAGATCTTGACTATATGTTTTGATAGTGAAGATTCTAATAAGAAACTGATACAATCTCAGATGTTATTTTGCTATGAAACATGCAAAATGTATGTGTACTTTATCTCTCTTTTTTATTCTGAAACATGGTTCCACTATCAACATTCAGAAAGAAAGGTAAGCCAAGTTGAATGTTTTCGTCTTGTTTTGGAACAGCAGTTTAAATTTAGCTTATGATTTCCTGTAACCAATGTTTCTCTTGTGCTTACGTTATATTCCACATGTTAAGTTAATACTCCTTAACTGTGGTGCATTTACTCAGTGATGGGTACTTTAGATACATTTTATTAGGAAAAAGCGTGAACTTATTGTAAAGCTCTGCAGAATAAGCTGGCGCTATATAAATAATAACCAATAATAATAATAACCCAAAGTAGCCACCATTTGGCCGTAATCCAGATTATTGGAAGGGAGCATGCCTAGAAAAATAACAAATGAACTAAAAAAGCAAAAAAAGAAAGTATTTGCTTTATAATTATTTACAATAGTTCTTGCAACCAAATTTAGTAGCTGAAGTAAACAATGTACACCATTCGGAGGGAGTCTGGCTCTCCTGCTTTTTGTCTTATATCATCATCATTATATGTAGAGTTTGTTGGCTCTAAGCTGATCCTTCAAGTTACTTTCTAATTTTATATTTATATATTTATTTAGAAACATTTGCCATGTGATATTGATAGATAACATACATATACAAAAACAAATGGTGGAATTCTCTGACACTACATGGTTATGTATTCCGAAAAAATATTGGCTACACATTGAAATGTGAAATATTAATATGATGTTAACTGAATATTTCTGTCGATTGTTTAACTTTTTGAAATTTCCCCCACAATATCTTCCAACGCATATATTTAAATAAGAATGTTAGAGATATGCTCCATCTTTCTGTTGAGCTTCCCAATATGGATATGTTCTGTTGAAACGGCCAGTTTGATATTGGTTATGTACAAGCTCCCAAGAAGTACACTGAATAACGGGTGTAACATAGATCCAATGAGATACAGTGGAACTTATCTCAGTATCTTAAATTACTCAAACCCCAATTCTATACTTAGAATTACCATATATACTCCAGTATAAGTCGAGTTTTTCAGCACAATTTTATTTAGAAATTTACCAGTAGCTGCTGCATTTCCCACCCTAGTCTTATACTCGAGTCAATAAGTTTTCCCAGTTTTTTGGGGTAAAATTAGGGGTCTCGACTTATATTCGGGTCGACTTATACTCGAGTCTATACGGTACTTGCAAATTATGCATCCAGTAAAAAAAAAAAAAAATCATAATTCTTAAAGGAAACAAGTCTTTAACACTTGTAAATGTCCTCTTTTTAATGCTTGTCATGATAAACTAATATGCCCAGCAAGCAGAACATAAGTAAATTATTAAAGAAAACTCGAAGGCATATTACCAGGTCTTAGAACGGCCGGATTTAATGAATAAAAGGAAAAGTACAAGACAGGCTAAGGTCAGGAATACAGAGTATATGTAAATGGTAGGCAAGCCAAAGGTCAAGGAATAAAGAAGTCAGAATAGTCAGGAAACAAGCCAAGGTCCAAGGGATACAGAAATCAGAATAGTCAATAAACAAGACAAGGTCAAAATACACAGTAATCAATACCAGAAACACGCTCTCAGATAACCACAATGGAAACCATGACAGGGCACTGAGAAATGGAAAAATAGCCTAAGGTGCTCTTTTATTTGTTGTAGAGGAGCATGGGACAATAGAACGTGCATCACACTTACGTTCCCAGTGATTAGGACCCAAGGGGTTAACTAAGAACCTTAAAAGGTTCTGATTTGCAGCGGTTAGCATTTTCAGACCCGGCCACTGTGTGAGAAGAGGGACACCTGTCTTTTACGAGACAGTGCTCGGACTGAGGCCAGCGAGCGCCGCAGGAGGAGGTAAGTAATCGGCAACAGGATGCACCCGCCGGGTCACAGACCGCTCTGTGACAAGAGCGGATCCAGCAGGCACCATGACAATGCTCCACTCCTATTATCCTTCAAGCAACATGAGGCCACTGGCTTGTGAATAATGAATCTCCATTTTGATGTGCAGAATTTTAATTGTTGATATCACTGACCATATTTCCTATGAGGTTTGCGCTGACTGATTCTCTTAAATCAGAGGGGCTCATTGTCTGTAATGGAACTTCAAATTCCAGCTGATCTTATGACCACCCTTCTGTTGAGAATATGTACTGCTAAAGTTTAATCGATGCTTCATAAGATCTTGTAATGTACACACAATGAACGCTACACCATCTCAGTTTTATTTATCAAAGATAGATTATTAGACAGGATAAATTTATAAAAATGGATTCATAGATTTATTAAACAGATCAAAAAAATAATATATTGCGCTTATTGCTTAGTTAGATATAGATTCCAGACAAGGATATCTCTCTTCCTGCCTTGATCACAGTTTTTTCCTGTTTGTATACTTAAACCCCACTCTCAATATATTGTAATTGCATTTGATCTAGACCCTTATTAACATTCTGTTTTCTTCACTCTAAAGTCTTTGTCCCAATTAGCACATTTAATTTGTTTTATATACTAAATCTTCGCAATGAAAATAAAATCACACTCTGTAATAAGTAGTAATAATGCCCACCACATGTTCCTAACAAGCTCATGTTTTTAGATATCTAAATTGCATTCGATTGGCTTTATACTGCTTTTATGAGAGAAGCATGCATGCATTTCCCTTCACTATACTTATAATAACAACATTCTAGCCCAACCCTATAGCAAAATATGTGTCTTGTTTTTATTTTGATATTAAAAATGTAACAAGACAAGGCTGCCCTTTATCTAATTTTCATTGTATTCTATAACTTAAGCCTCTGGGACAGTTATGATTATTGAATCCACAGATGAAATGTATCTTATCTTATTGTCTCACTAAACATGCCTGCTAAGAAAGTTCTCATACCTATGTCCAACCCTAAGGTATGTTTGCCATAGAAAAGGCCAGGAATACAAAAAAAATACTTAATTGTGTTGTTCAATAAACTCAATGCATTCACAATGCAAGCGTTGAAAATCAACATAGAGTAGAACACTACTGCAGTTACACATAAATAAATGTATAGGTAGATCAGCACAATTTCCTGAGGGTAAAAAAACCTTAAATCAATTATTCCAAATTTAAAGACAACTCTTTCTAATTGAAGTTAATTAGATTAGTCCAAGATCCTAGCTAACTTTGAAAAACATAGGGAGATTTGTAAAATGTTTACTACTCATTGCTATAGGTTCGGTACACTTTCATGAAGCTATTGTAGAAAAAACAGAGCAGGATTAAAATAAGGGGACCCTAGGCAGCCATCTTGGGAACAGGGTTTAGACAGGGGCCCCATGACCATGAATTTGCTTGGGCATATTTGCTATCTCTATGTGAAAAATGAAGGGGAGGCCCAAAGTGGAGACCTCCCTAGGATCCTGTAGGATCCTAACCCTTCTGTGAGTAGAACACTGTGTTTACTAAATCTACAAAACTGCCATCACGGTAAGGTGGTGAAGAAATGTATGACTAACCTTTTCAAGTGTATAATAGAGAAGGATACAGAATGCCCTAATTACAAAGATAGAGCTCTCTGCCAGCACCCCTCCTACACAGTCCATGCCACTGGACCACCAGGAAATGAGAGCCCCCCTCCCTGGATATGTATCAAGCAGGGAGGGGGGACGAAAATAAAAATACAAATTTAAATAATACAAAATAAAATAAAAATATTAATAATATAAAAAAATAATAATAAAAATGCCCACCCCCCACCAAGGCTCTGCATCACATACACACACTGTACTCATATACACACACACACACACACACACACATTGCATTCAAAAACACACACACACACACTGCATTCACACACACATACACACACACACACACACACACACTGCATTCATACACACACACTGCATTCATACACACACTGCATTCATACACACACACACACTGCATTCATACAAACACACACTGCATTCATACACACACACGGCACTCATACACACACACACACACACATACACATACACACACACACATACTGCATTCATACACACACACACACTGCATTCATACACACACTGCATTCATACAAACACACTGCATTATATACACACACACTGCATTCATTATATACACACACTGTAAATAAATATTCAATTAATATAATTTTGGGGGGAACTAATTTTATTTAGAAATTTACCAATAGCTGCTGCATTTCCCACCCTAGTCTTATACTCGAGTCAATAAGTTTTCCCAGGGCCCTGTAGGATCCTAATCCTTCTGTGAGTAGAACATTGTGTTTACTAAATCTACAAAACTGCCATCACGGTAAGGTGGTGAAGAAATGTATGACTAACCTGTTCAAGGGTATAATAGAGAAGGATACAGAATGCCCTAATTACAAAGATCAGTTGATAATCCGTAGGAAAATACCCTTCCAATAGCATTTTACCCATCTCTCCTGATCAGCACTGGATTGGGGCTATGAGAGCCTAGAGTAAAATGTGATGGACCTAATGAGAGAAGTTGACTTTGCATTGACATTGTCATAATAGTCATGGCCTACATGTGTGGCATATAACAAACCTAGTACTAGTCCATACAACCTCTGCACTATCCCTCCTGTGTAATTGCTTATTTGACTTTTAGATTGGGCCTACAACATGACATTCAGTCTCTCTGCACAGCACAGGGTGAATGCTGGGAAACCATTAATAAATAATAAAGACAGATTGATATATAGCAGGTGGAGCACCTATGGTGATATATAACTAGAGAAAGTAGCCTACTTTATGACATATAAATATAAAAAAATGAAATTGAATATTTCTGTTGCAGCTGCTTTGTGTCCAGTTTAAAGCATGGACGCTATCTTAATCTGGCCCTGTTATGTTTTTGAACTTCTACCTGGAGATACCTTACCCTACTCTTCTATGCTGGAGTCATCTACAGCTTATCATATTTGGAAGGTGGACCCTACCATTCTTCCTGTGTGACAATAGATGCATTTTATCACCCTACCGTTTAGGTAGGATATATCAAATTTATCCTCCATTATTTATTCTAGTATCTTATTATTACAGATATTATAACTTCATGTTAGTAACTTGTGTCCAGTTGTTGTTTTCACCTCATTGGAGGTTTTCATGCTTATTCTGACAATTTTGAGGGATCTAGATTGCACATTCCTCTCATCTTCTATTTTCCACGTATGTAGTTTTAACCTGACACTAGCTTATTTAGTGGTTAAATATCTATACAGTATAGACGTACCAGGTTTATCACTTATTTTGTTACAAATCCCTAAATTCTAAAGAGAGGGATTCTGAATGTATGACCAGATGGACTAATTGGAAATTAGTAATAATCAAGTAAAGGCTATCATTCAGACTATTACATTAGCTTAATCAACCATGGAAAAGCAAAAAAAGTCTCAAGACGGTTTAAAACATTTGTAATTTTGTCAAAAGTCTTTACTTTCTAATAATTATCTTCCTGGGATATGTACTATTGTAATCTGGTTTAGAGTTCCCAATTCTTACAAAAAGGTTTTAAATTACCTTCAGTCCTGTGAGAAGAAAAATCTTCTACAATATAAACCTTGAGAAAAAAAACAAAACAAATGGAATTAGAGTACACATTGTTCAAAAAGACTGGTTTAAATCTTGTTGTGCTTGTAATTTTTTATCTTTGATCTCTGTGTGTCTTGCTGTAAATAATCTTGGTGTTTAGTATTCAGTTTCGCTTTAGATTGTTATAATGTGGTCCCTTTTTGTTCTTACTGTTTAAATGGTACAAAAACGTCGGGAGAAAAAAAGCATTTACTTTTTAATATTGTTCTTAATCAGCATGGTAACTTTCTTGGAATTGCACATCATGATTACCATCAAAACCTTCACAAGATTTATTCCCCGAAGCACAATAAACAACAGAAATCAAAAATGTGTAACCCACAGGAACCTTCAAATCAGACGTGCATGGTGGAACTCATACTCTTGTAAATTCTGAGGATTTTGTACATATATAAAATATGTGCACAGGTTAGGAATCTATGATGGCAGTCCGTACAATTTAAATAATATCAAGAATATATTATTTGTATAGAACTGCCGAATACTATATATGTGGTGTGACTGTCATAAACAATACATGTGGTAATTATAATGGACCTCTTACGGTAAGACTTAATTCATTTGTATATTGCACTTATAAAAGTGCAAGCAAATTTATAAATAATGACTCTTTCTGTCAAGACAGCTCATGGAAAAAAATCTTAAACGCTGCAATCCTGAGCATGTTTTATTTGGAGGGTGCTATAGGATGAGCTGCAGAATAATAGCTGGTGGATGACTTGTTTAATTATCCATTGTAAACTTCATACACATAAATGCAACTGGGCATTTGCATCACTCATTCACTGAATATCGTTAAAGGAACACTATAGCATTAAGAATATACACCTGTATATCTCTGTATAGGTGGTATCACCCCTCCACTTCATTAACAAAAATAATTTAAATTTTTTTAAAAAGTAGGGACCTAATGCACATTTGGGACGAATGCCACACACGCATTAAATCTTCCTCATAGGAATTTATTAAATCAATTAGTTTTTTTAAGGGGTGGTGGGGTCTGGTTGCTGACCAAGATAGTCACATGGTGGTGGAGCTTCTGAGATTTTATGAGAATTTAAGCCTGAAAAGTAAATTCTTTATATATTTTGGCAGCTTACAGACCTTATTTCATCTGCTAAACACTCTACCATTATTCTGCATTGAGCTTTGTTTAACAGTCGGGTATTGCTCATGACTGACTTCTTTGAGGCATGCTTGTTGAATTGAGGTTGGGAAGGTGACCGGTTCATAGCTTCATAATGCTCATGCATTTTCCTGGTCTCTGTCCCCTCTCCCTTTGGGCTGTTGGGGGTGATCCCGGCCTACACTGACCAATATCAGCATCTCATGAGGTCAGTCATGGCGTGGTCGTCTCTCTAATCACTACCCTACATGGTACATACCTGACGGTCCCAAGATGGCTAACATTCCTGTTTCTTTTATTTTAAACTGCAATGTTTTACTTTGCAGTGTTAAAAGGACAGTACCATGGAACTCATACCATACCACTTCATTGAGATAAAGTGGTCTTGGTGACAATAATGTCTGCTTACATTTTCTATTAACATTTCTCTAAAAACATCTTTTTTTGCCATTTAACATCTACTATGATTAAGGGGACAGATCATACAATCTAGAGGTCTACCAGTAGGTAACCACTGATTAAAATGATATACCTTACAGCCCAGAGGTCTTTCATTAATCACCTAACCTACCAAATCCTACCTACCACGAGGTTTCCCAATCAGGAAATTAATTTCAGTGTAGTGTACTACCACACATATCATGTGCCAAGGTTCCCCTCAACAACTCCAGGTTTATCAGGATTATTCAATAAAGTGAGAATTCAAAGTGAATTTTAAATTTAAGGTCATAATTGCCAAAATGGAAAATTATCGACTGTGCTTTCCTTTCAGCTACATTGGCCTTAAATTTAAATTAGTGAACAACCATGTATGTAGCCAAAAGTTGGCTCTCTAATGTTAGACGATATGTAATCAATAAATCTTTTCACGATACAGTGTCTCCATAAATCTCCATATTCTCTACGGTTACACTCCATTGGCCTCTCTCTTATACATAAAATTATTTTTATTAGGGAAATATATTGAACCACCAATTTAAATTTCTCTATATAATTGCTGATGTAAAGCTGCGTTGTTTAAGAGATCTCAGTTTCCAGGAAACTGCACCACACAATTCCACTACAAACTTCAGTGGCAGAGCTCCTCACAAACACCCAATCCCTGGAGCCATGAATGAGTGCATGGCGTATAGATTTAAAATGCCATTTTCTTGAACTGTATATCAAGACTATCTGTGTTATTATATGAATCAGTTCTTATCTCTTCCATGAACTCAACGATCAAAGAATCATCTCTCAAAATATAAGTATCTAATCTTTTATCATTGAATTCTACGAACCTCACGTGCCTTCACAAGCATATACCCTGTAGCTATGATTCACGGTACAACATACACTTGTTGATTGCTTACTTGAAAGAGAATTATCATCTTGAAGACATATTTAATAGTTTTATTGGAAACCTAACATAGCCAGTTCACATTATACACACGTTACACATATTTGTGGTAGTGAATAAAATATAAAATTTACAAAAATTAATTTGGATTCAATCACAAAGAATATGTAGAATACACACACACATACACACACACACACACACGAAGATAGAAAAGAAAGAAAGATAAAAGAGAAAGAAAGATAGAAATATAGAAAGATAGAAAGAAATATAGAAATACAGAAATATAGATAGAAAGAAAGAAGGAGAAAAGAAGGATGAAAAGAAGGAGATAGACTTTATATATTGTATATCGCAATACTCTGGTTATTTTGGCATCACACATATAATAAATAATTACAAGATATAAGTGTTTCAGAAGTTAATTAAAAGTGCCAATCTCAGATGGAAAAATATAAAATTTAGTCGCATTTATGATAGATGATGGAGCAGTCTCCCTTCGCAGTTAATCTGGTGATGATACTTACTACTTTTACCATTCACCTTCAGTAATACCACAACATGACACTAACTTATTTATTAAAAGAAAAAATTGCAAAAGTGCTGATCTGGAAATGCTAATAGATATTTAAAAGATAACTGGTTTAGTACACATGTACAATTATTATCGAGAAACAGAGATTCAAGATAATGTCATTGACCATATGGCAAGTATTTTCCATACATATTTTAAATGGACTCTTGAATTAATTAAAATATTCCATTTTAGAGTTTTAACCATGTAGTTTTACAACTCCCAAATTGTCAATGAATTGCTTCCGTAACTAATAAATAATAATTTTTTGTTTTCAAGGTCTCCAACGATTGCCTTATTTTAAAACTGTTGAAACTGAATAAGAGGTTTGTGAGTAGATGGGTTAGACTTGCCGCAGTACTTGTAGTTCGTTAACTGGAGCACATTTTTGTGGCATACCAAAGTTGCGTATTTACTAGAAATGAGATTTTCACTTCAACTGACAAGGTACAAAGTGTACAGTCACGAATAAACACATATTGTGTCATGCAAAATGCAAGAGGACAAGATCTGGAATAGATAAATAAAT